CGCTTGATCAAGCAGTTCCTGTGCTGCTTCGATGTTGGTGTCAATCCTTTGCGAAATTTCCGACGAACTGAGTAATTCTGCGTCCAGACTGTCGGCAGCTTTGGCATATTTCTCCAAGGAGCTTTCAAGGGTGCCTAATTCAGCTTCGATTGCTACAATTGCTCGTCTGATTCTTCTAGCGCGATCCTCCACTTCCTCATCTTCTCGTATGCCTGATTGTGCAAGAAGATCTTCGTGACTACGAATGACCGAGGACAGGCGATGAATGGATCGAGTCAAGAGCCCTTGGCGAACTGACAAGGAAGACGTCATGAAAAGTTTCGACTTACGCTCTTGAGTCGTTGGAGGTCTTCTTCTAGCTTCTGCCTCCGTCGAATCTGCTACTCCGGCCGATGCACCAGATGTGGCGGGGGTTTCGGCCGCTACTGTTGTGCCGGAAGACGAGGTAGAACAACTAACTTTATTCTTACTACAGAGGGTTTTTATACGACCCTCAAAACAATAATAAGAAGATCACTATTATCACTTTCATCGGTGGTTCATTTTTCTTGCCTTTCATAACAACCTTCGGTTGACAATAGAGAATGATTCTCTATATGAAAGGGTTGTTCAGGCTGCGCCCCTCGAAACCACGATACAATACAGTGTGGGATGTGTCGCAAGTAATACGACACATTGAGAGCCTGGGCGACAACGAGCACCTATCCATCCGACAGCTTACCCTGAAACTCACTATGCTGCTAGCTTTAGCTTCGCCAAAAAAAGTTTCGGAATTAGCCGCTTTGAGTCTGGAATCACTTCAGCAAGGCGATTCAAAATGGGTGTTCAGACTCGACTACATGAATAAAAACCGTCGGATAGGATCGAGGGCTCATTCTGCAGTCTTCACATCCTTCACGGAGAATCCTCGGCTCTGCCCTATAGAAACCATGAAGTCATACATCTCTAGGACTGTAATGCACCGCTTCCAGGCCAAGCGCTTACTGATCTCTTATCAGAGACCATTCGCCGCCATAACGGCCACAACGGTGTCTCGCTGGCTAAAGAACATTCTGGTGGATGCGGGAGTAGGCTCATGTTTTGGCGCTCATTCAACTAGGGCAGCGGCTACGACAGCAGCGAAGCTAAGGGGTGTGTCCTCGAAAGCAATTATGGAAGCCGCCAACTGGGCGCCAGGAGGATCCACCTTCGAGCGATTTTACTTCAAGGACCCCTCAGAGTCTTTTCAGAATTCCATTCTGGCAGAAACGTAGTTGAAGAAGCAAACGTAATTGATAAGAGCAGTGTTATATAATTGCTTATTTTACTAGACAACGAAGTTGTTGAAGTAAAATATTTATTATATTAACTGCGATTATCAATTACAGTTACCCACCCGCTACGCTTCCCAACCCGAGCCTGTTTCACAGCCAGAATAGAGTTCTTTCAGATCGAAATCCACCAGAGCCCAATCGCCTCGCTCCACAAGCAGCGCACCGAAGAAGCAGGAGCGCTCAAAAAAGGAGACCAAGAAGAGTTAGAGGCGATCTCGCCAGAATTTGAAGCATTTCTCACCTTGATGTTGTGTTGTGTTAATTAACACGCCAGATAAAGAGATCTATGCGGAAGTGTGTTTCCGGCAACAACAACCAGTTGCTCTCTCTAGAAGAGGCAACTGAAGTGTCCGATCCTTTCCGGCCACACACCAAGGTTTTGGCGGGAAAAGATCAAACACTTGATCGTGAAGATCAACTAGAGAAGACAGGAGCTGATAAGGCAAAAGCAAACGTAATTGATAATCGCAGTTAATATAATAAATATATTACTTCAACAACTTCGTTGTCTAGTAAAATAAGCAATTTCAGTACCTATTTCGTGATAGGCAGTATATGGCTGTAATTCAAATCAAATATTCAAATAAGCCTTAGTCGTTACTAAGACACTAGAAAATGATTAATGTTACATAAAGGATAATCTTGCGTATCAAAGCACGTCAATCTGACGTATGACGACCGTTGGTCGAGTCGAAGGAACATGGTGGCCGACCTATTGGTTAGGTTAGAAGAAAAACTGACCTTTTGGTTAAATCTTGAACTTTGAGCTGCTGTAAGAATGTACATAATATGGGGTAAGTGTATAATCAGAAAGAAATTTACATGAGATAATTAAGAAGTAAAAAAAGGACGTCAGTTTGACGTATGACGACCGTTGGCCGAGCTGAAGAAACATGATGATCGACCTATTGGTCGAAACAGAAGAGAAATTGACCTGTTGGTCAATATCTCAAACGGTGACTTGTTGTAAGAAAATTAAATATTGTATAGAATAGTGTAAAACTTGTTAGCAATTGAACTTGGAATTAGATTTAGTGATCCCTTTTCAGGTACTAACATCACACAGCGTCGGGTACCCTCGAGCTTTTTTTGTTTTGCTTTATTGTTTTGCATTTCATGGTTTTGTTTTGCTGGGTTGTTCACAAGTCAAAATGATCATTCCTTCCATGGAAGATTCCTTTGAGGTATCGTTTTCTGTGGTAATGAGGGCGGAGCTTTTTCCGTGGAAGATTCCTTTAACTTCCGAACAAGAAAGATTAGCAATTTTTGAGAAGAATCACTGAAACAAGTTCGTCGATGGAATTTGGCAAAGCACTTGGACACAAGTCGGAGATCGTCATTAGTGCCGTCAGCTGTGTCGATTAAATTGATCCTATGAATCACTACAGCTTCCTATCGATCCAAGCAAGATTTTCTCTCTTTCAGAACAATGAATCGCCTGTTGCTCGTGGTTTTTGGTTAGTTTACCCTTTTGTCCTATTCTTCACGCTATAAATTTCAGAAGTTTATCACGTGCTCTTGCTGGTTTTGTTTTGCTGGGTTGTTCAGAAAGTTTCCGCCGTTTTTAGCAGCTCACTTTCAAACGCTTCATTTCTGAATCACTTACAAAAAAATGCTACCACTTTATATACTAGTGGGATGCACGCTTCCCGCTTTGTCTTAATCTGCTGCTCCTTTAACCTGAAACCTTTTTGTCTCATTTTGGAACCTTGAATACAACTACTCAACGGGCTGTCATGTACGTTTCTTGATTCCTTTCAAGTTTGGTCGAAAAAGTGCTAAAGTAAGTCGGGATGTCATCTCAATATTTGGTTCTGAAATCACGAAAAATTCGCTGTGCAGTCATGATTCGAAACATCTTCCTTGCGACGATGAAAGCTGCGAAAAGATTAAGGTGAGGGTCGGATATCGGACTGACAAACATTAACTAACCATAGGGGCTTTGATCAAACCAAATCTGCATGAAACCGTTGAACAGGTCCCTTCCTAACTAGGCGTAACTGAGATGGCGTTTTCAAGTATAGGTGTCCTGAGAACGTTTAAAAAAGTCGACAAGCGGGTGCCGCCCGCTCCCCGCACTTGCGCAGCTCCATCTCGCATTTCCAGCTGTGCACAATTTTGAGTAGCTGAACAACAAAACTGTGCTGCGAACACTTTGCACTGTAGACGTCTACCAACTGCTACTTTTTTGGCACCTGGATAGCTTTTTCAAGAAGATTAAACGAATTGTAGTTGTAATTGTTTATTATACAGTTATACCTGTATGAATATAATATTTTAAATATAATATAATATAATATAATGAATATATATATATATTTAAAACGTTGAGAATTCTCAAATAATGAGTGAACGAGACAGCAGACCAAAAGAAGCTGCAACTCAAGAGAATTGAAATAAGGACTCAAGAACTAAGTTTTGAGATACTTGTCTAAAGCGGCTCTGAAGGAACTAAGTTTGGTGGTGGATACTCCCAAACGAACCAGTCTATTGAACTCCCAGGTGGTCCTATTCACGAAGAAGTGCCGTCTGACGTTACGCTTTGCTCTGCATGCGACTAGCTCCATAGAGCCACTATTAGTGATTGATCCTTTGATTAAAAATAGATTATTAGGGTCTGAGAGCAGAATGAAAGTGAATAGTCTTAAAAAGGTTAAAGTCAGCGGAAACTTTGCGAACAAACCAATATTATTGCGTTATCGGAAGCGCAGAGTCGTTTTTTTCAGTCTGCTAATCTGCTATTTTTTTACATCAGTTCACATATATTTCGATAGGAAAAATTATGACAACCTACAAGAATATTTAATTCTCTGTTCGTTGTGGAAGAGTTGAGATCTAGCCAGGCTTGCAAAGGGAGAGATCCAGAATACCAAAATTAGCCAGGCCTGCAACTAACTTAAACTCTGTTTTCTATCCCAGCGATTAAACAATAGCATGTCAATTATTCTCACGACCTCTTCTGTGGCTTTTCGTCCGTTCAAAAAGCTACTAATAAGGATTGTCGTTCAGGGCAAAGCGGCCTTTTTCAAAACGGTTTTTGCATGCTGTAGGGGCTCTCACGTAGACTACAATACTGTGTTTCATTTTCGCTGAGCGGCCCCCTGAAGGCCAAAAAAGGGTCGAAAAAATTCGTTAAGAATGGGCGGTTTTTACAGCTTGGAGTGACGTTTCGGACTTGTACAGAAGATCACCTGCATATTGAAGGGACGCTGATAAAGATGGTATCGAAAACAAGGTGAAATTCGCCAAAAATTGAAGTACTGTCAGTGGTAGTGCTGGAACAAGTAAAGCATAAGCATCGTCGGCATCCGCACATTTGCTTTGATCTGGTGGTCGAGTGGGTAGCGTGATGGGGTTGCAGAAAGGGTCTTTGTGGATCGAATCCGCTCTGTCTCAACATTTCTGCATTTTCGACTTTCACCTCCAAATGAGCGCCAAATCGCTTTTGCGTCAAATTTAACGCTATATTCAATGAGGTCTACCAGCAGACCCTGCAAATGGGATCGAAAACTGGCAGAATGGATGAGTAGCGCCAAACTGGCGCCAAATGGCGCCGACGCCAATAAAAACGCCATATTCGTGATCAGCACCCGATTTACCCCTATAGGCAAACTTTCGACGAAAATCGAAATTTTGACCTAACTTCGAAAAAGGAGGTGACCATGGGCCACAGGTCGTCATGCACGCCGGCGGGCGACTTGAAGACGAGCGCTGCGCGGAAATCAAGCGGAACACCCTGTTGATTCACAGAATCCAAAGCTCGGT